AGTCATAATTTTAGGAGATATATCTCACATGGATTTGAGATTATCATAGCTTGTAGGAGTAGGAGATGTTATGCTTGGAGAGCAAGGCTGATGATTTAACTTGGTGGACAAGGTTAACTCATCTATAAATAGGGATAGTTTCTCTGTATTTTATGTATTCAAAGTTTTTCAATTAATTGGAGAAGGATTTCCAATAAGTTCTTGTTCTAGATTTCTGTTTTCTGTTTATCGAGATCTGGTACCAATAACTTCAAAAACTGCTTTCCCCATGCACTACGCACTTTGAATTCCTAGTTATAAAGTCAGGACCTTTGAACAATCAATCCTCTTTCCAAAGCCTCAGGAGTGATAGTTTTGGGCCTTATTAATGGCTCGTAGTCTTCAAAGGCATCTTGATCTACAATAAATATAAAACAAATTCATTATGATTTATGTTACCCTTATCTTGGAATTTTTCCGATTCCATGGGCATTTTGTGAAGTGTTTCAAGTGCAATTTTGAGGCTCCTCAAGTACACTTAGCAGGATTCATCGATATGAAGCTGTCAAAGTGTCAAGGTTGATGAATCTAAAATTTCAGCGGTGTAAGACCAGCCCACACCTCCTAGAGCCATCCACTCCATTGCCACCAAGAAATGATCGTACTCTTTCTCTCTCAACTGCATCCGGGAAGTCACCATCACGAAAGATCCAGACCTCCTAGATCTGGCGAAGGAGTTCCAGGATTCAGGAAGGGAATGAAAGGTAGTCACATTCATTATTCCACAAAAGGAAACATTGGAAAGTCAAAGCATTTTTCATCTAACATTAAAAACTCTGCCAAGTTAATATGAGGATAACCATCTTGGACGGAGGGAGTAATTGGTAGTTAAACCTGCTTATACAAACTGCTATCTTCCATCTGTTAAATGCTAACCATTATCTGGTGATTGTTGTTTCCCAAACACGCTTTAAAATATTCCTTAAACCATTTATGGTCAAACATGATGCTTTCAAAAGTGGGTCATCCTATTGCCTATTGTAGCTGGAAAGTTGTTGAGCTCTTACGAAAGTCACGGCTTACAAGAGGGAGCAAATTGGCCATGCCAAATTGCTATCACAATGGCGGCTTTATTTGTGGGGAGATGAATTCTTGGTTCAGTTTGGCCATTCAATTTTGAAGTATCTTTTGTAACAATGGTTACTGCCTTGTTCCCTATTGGCTATCGCATAGGCTCAATAAACTCATGGGCTTCAATTTCTGGGTACAACGTAAGCTAAGCAGATCTATGCAGCTCTTGCTGATGCATCTACCACTATTCTAAGGTTTTTACCAATTATGGGAAATGAAGGGAATCATATGATTGTTTAGGTGGGTTGCTTTTAGTCAAGGCTTTTGATTCAAATTGGACTAATAGTGACTTTGTTATTTTTCATACGCGCTGAGTTTTCTCCTCAGCATGCATTTTCATTCTTGCAGTACCTGCTTTACAATACAAGACATTTGTTTGAACCCAGTCTTAAAATCAAATGTTTCTTTTATGTGGAAATTTTGTTGGCCGACTAAAATGTGAAAAATGGACTTTCACAGGATCCTGCAGAAGCACGAGCCAAAGCTACACCTAGCAAAGTAGAAAATGTGTAACATGCCTATCTTGCCTGGTAATGCTTGGAGTGCACTGAATCAAGGTTGTCTACTCATCATCCCCTTGTGTTCTTAATACATAATAATTCATTAATTGCACCGAATTAATGTCAGTGATTTCTGGAAACCTAGAAACCTAGTTTCAGACATGTGTGGATTTCCTAGACTGGGGCATAGTGTGTGATAAAATAGCATCTTGGGTCACTCTGTTGGCCATGGCATTAGTTAATATGATTAGTCAATAAATGTGCAGGTTTATCTTGACATGTAGATGTAAAATATCCATTAGCAGCTAAAACTGTGTGCTGAAAAACTATTTGTCCACTAATCCCCTAGTACAGCCGGTACAATCGTCCATCCAACGGGTATCAAGGAGGCAGCGGTTAAGCGTATTTTGGTGTGGCCTGTTTTTTCTTTGGCATCAACCTCTTTGAATATATTTTCATGATATTTGAAGAAAATGTATGGAGTAATATACATCCTGGTTTTTGAGCAAAGACCATGCTGAAGACTCAAGCTTCGCATTGTTTAATACCTTCATACATTGAACGATCCACCTTTTTTTTCTCCCTTTGATTACTCAAATGGTGAAAACAATATCTTTTCTGTTTATTTTCTAAGATATATTTTTAAACTTTTCTACTATTTTTCTGTTAAAAATTACGTCCCATAATAAATTTCTCACTTTCCTCTTTTTTGGTTTGTTCCAAAATAAGCTTCTTATGTAGTACCCCATAGTATTTCTTTTACATTATGTTTGGCTCAGATTTATGGAAGAAGGAAAATGTTATTCCCTCCTTCCCATTTTATAACGCTGTTTCGGTTTACGATGTTTGATTGGAATTATTTTCAAATCAATTTATATGACAAATGGTATAGAGTTAAAAAATAAAAATTACATATTAAAATACTACATCAAAAGATCTACAAAACTAGTAGTGATAATAGTATTTTATTTTATCAAATTACTAACAAAAGTAGAGAAAGAAAGTGAATGAAGTTTGATCCTATGAATAGTGAACATGCATTATAATTCGGGAGGGAAGGAGTAAGAAATAGAAAAACAAACAAAAGATCTTTGTTTTGTTTGGTTAGTAGGGAAAATGGTAAGGAAGTTATTTTCATGGAAAGCGACCTGGGGCCCGTTTGGTACATTGAATTAACGGAATTGAAATTGAATTGAGAGTTGAAATTCTATAAAATTAATTTGGATGGAATTAAAATCTCCGTTTCCAATTCATTTTTGGCACTACCAATATCAAATTTACATATTTTTATGTCACCAAATAGCAGAATTGAAATTGCAGTCATCAATTCCGTGTAACAAACACAGTCTTAGTGTACTTAATCAAATTTACATAGTTTTGATAAAAGCAAAAAAGTTTATATGCAATTTATTAGTTAAGAGTTTTAAAAATCATTTTTACAAACGGTACATGTATGCAATGGTGGATCCCTTTATTATATTTGGTAATATAGAATTAAATATATAAACTTCTTATTTTAAAGAGTCAATTATAAATTGAAGTACATGTCCTCTCTCATCCAAGCTCTTCTCTCTTATTCAATTTTGTAATACTTTCTATGTCCCAAAAAGACTCCAAATATCTTGTTCATGATGTGTCAAAAAATGACTCTTCTTCCTAGTTTAGGAAAATTTTTTGTGACTCACAATTAATTTCTTTTTTTATCACTTTCAACGCATAAATTTTCTTTTCTTTGACTTTGCATCAAATCAAATGAAGATTTTTTTGGGACGTACGTAATATTTTTGATCCTCACTCTCTCTGGAGTGTTAAATTTACGTATCTACAGATCCACGAAGAGAGGGGTGTTGGTGATTTTAGTCTCATCAACCATTTTGTGTAATTGATTTTTACTTAGATCAAGCAATAATTTGAATAGACGTTGTCAAATGAGTTAGGAGGTGAGGATTGCACACTCGTTCAACAATATTACAAATTCATAGCGGGGGTCCGGGGGTGGCAGCCCTTGGTAGCAGGGTCTAAGGGGCGGCAGCCCCTGACGGGGTCCAAGGGGATCTGGCAGTTTCGATCGAGTTGCCGGGACAACTTAGAAATTTTTTATTTTTGACATTAATGTCTTATGCAAATCTTTTTTATTTTCGTGAACAGAGTCCAAATGCTAAGAGATTTGGACGTACGGATAAATGTAAAAATTGGCCCTAAACCGCCAGAATCTATTTGCACAAGCGTTTACCTCCTTAAGAAAACGTTCATAGACTTACGATCGTATCTCTTCGCGCGAATGTTTGCAGCCTTACGCGAACGTTCATGTCTGATCATGGATTTTTTACTCTACAAATAGTGACTCGCAGGTGTGGTTGATACACTGGATTTCGAAGTGCTTGTTCTTGATTAACGTTTTATCCAATTAAAATATTTTTGTATACTCCGAAATAACTTTGATTGGAAACCGTATTACGCGATTCATTAAACTATCAAGCCGATCATCTCGTTTTGTTCATTAAAGACTTTAACAAGGGGTTGAATTTTGCCGATCTAGGGTTTTTGTACGTTATCTTGACTTGTTTTCCTATCTTTGGTTTTTATCACTCTTGCTATTAAAGGCAAACTTCCAATCCATTCATCTACAAATTTTTGTCCTATTTTCATATAATAGTTTACGATGTTTTCATATAATACGTTGTTTTCATATAATACGTTGAACATCATAGATCTTTTCACGCACTATTCACATGATCAATTGTAATTCATTTTGTTTGCTTATTGTTACTATTCATTTCATAAAATAATATAATTTTGTTACTTTTTGTTTTGTAAAACTTTTCATGTAGTGTATTATTATAAAAATTTTATACCTACAATCAAATAACTTGAATTGAAATAATGTATATTTTTAGGGTGTGGTGATGTATGGGACGGAAATGAATGGTCCTTTGTCCTTAACATTACATCTGATTTTTCAGATCTTGAAGATTTGTATGAAGCTTTCATCCGCTCCTATGATGAAATTCAACGATTTATAGCATTATAAAATTTGAATGCTGCAATGAAGTCACGCTGCTAGTGTCATCCATGTTGGGGATCACGAAGATAACACGGATCAATTTGAGAATCGTGTGACACTTTCGGATTGATTATTTTGTTGTTCAATTCAAAAATCAATCGGATAAAACTCAAATTTGACAAGTATGGATTGATATGAATTTCGAACTGCTTTCTCGACCAAAGATTTACGGGATTTATAGAGCCGCGGAAGGGGAAAAAAAGATACGGTTGCGTCTCCCATCTAAAATACACATCCCCTTGCACGAATTTTAAGAAACGAAGGCTATTTTTTAATGAAAATTTCCTTTAAGGAAGATTCGAAAATTAAACATTCAAATGAACTTTTAACATAACACTTCAACCCCAGCCAGGGCTCTGCCCCTTGGACCCCGCAGGGGCTGCCGTTCCTTGAATCCTGCTCGGGGACACTACCCCCGAACTCCCGCCAAGGGGGCACTGCCCCTTGGAACCTTCGTTAAAACTTAAAACAAGACTTTTATCATAACAAACTCAACAAAGCGTGCATTCCGTACCACAGAACTTTTTTTGTGATTATTATGATAGTATTGGTCAAATAATTTTTCCAATTATACTAAAATATATAACAATCCACTCTTCCAGTTTTTTTGCAGTTGAGAATTGTTTAGAATTCAATAAGGTGTATTAATGTTTAGACTATTCTAAGCTATTTTTTGTTTTTTGATAGAAGGATGAGTTTAAAAAGTTGAGGCAGAGATGAACAATTTTTTATTTTTCAAATGACCTTGAGGGCATTATTAGAAGGTCAATTCTTTTTTTTTCTTTTCATTCTTTATTTCTGACTAAACTCAAATTAGGCATTTTAAAGAGAGTTAGTATATTATTTTAGAAAAAATTAAAGTAACACCACTCTCATTACACCCCTTTGACACTACATACAGTATCTCATGCACACAAATACTCCCTCCGTCCTAAAATGTTCTTCCCATTCACTTTTCACACGGTCAAACTTTAATCACTTTCTTTACCTATTTTCATTATGCATTTGATAAAATAATATAGTCTTGTCACCACTTGTTTTATAAAACTTTTGATGTAGTTTTTAAATATATAAATTTTATTTTTTATTTTTACTCCTACAATCAAATAAATTGAATTGAAAATAAAGTCGCTCAAACCTTATAAAATAAACCGGGAAGAACATTATAGGACGGAGGGAGTAATATTTATCTGTGCAAGCAGCCATTTATTATATGTGTGTCTATGAGACATTATGATATTAAAGTGGTGTCATGAGGTGTTGTCGCCCTATCAAAACCATGTTCTTTTATTTTTGTTCAAGGAGCGTAGTTCAACTGATCAAAGAATAGTTCCACATGAGGTGAATATGGATTTAAATCCTGACAATAACGAACAAGAATGACCATGTCATGCATGGGTTATATTCTTCCATTTTAGAAAATGACTCTTTGTTACTATTCACAGATCAACTTAACTATGCTTTCATTACACATTTTCATAGATCATTTGATAAAATAAAATAATCTTGTCATTACTATTTTGTAGAAAATTTGATGTAGTTTTTTTAAAATATAATTTTTATTTTTTTGATTTTACACAATTTTTTACTTATCTTGATTTGAAAAACTCCAGTCAAACATCATCGATTGAACACGAGCCTTATTTTGGGATATAGGGAGCAATTTTTATTTATTTGAGGTCTAAGTTCGTCGAGTTTGACTTTTTAACTTGAAAAAGTTAAACTAGATGAATATAATTGGACGCAGTAGTTTTTTATGACACGGATTTTAGGAAGTCAAATTATATGATTGAAACTTGTATTGAGAGAGAATTGGTGAACCAAAAAAATCCTTTCTAGACCTGGCAAAATAGAATCAGGCCGTTTACCAGAACTGAAATATTCAAAATCAAAACCAGAATGATTCAAAAAATGAAGATCTGATCTATAATCGAATATCTAAAATCCCACCAACCAATTCATTCATGCCGAATTTAGATCTCAAATCAATTATATTCGTACTGATTAGCCTCAAAACTGATTCTATCTAAAATCAATAAGACCCGAAATCATTGATTCAAAACTGATACAATTCGAAGCTGATTATGCCTTTTCAAAAACAGATTACAAGTGCACAACAGTTTTGTAATTTTGATCATTAATGTGGGATATGATTGAGTGAACAAGATAGAAAAGCTAGAGAGAAGAAATGAAAATTGAGAAAGGAAACAGAGAATAAAGTTTAGACATGAAAATATTTGGCAAAAAAACTACAGTAAAAAGGAGGAAAGAAAGTGGAAAAAAAGAAAAAATCCAAAAAAGAACAGTTTGGAAGAAGGCTAAAAATGTGATATAATGAATTGATGATACGTTGACAAATGTGATATGATAAAAGAGCTAAGGAAACATAGAATTTTTAATTTTAATATAAAAATAAATATACATCCAAACTGAAACGTATCTAAAATCGAAATATATCTAAACTGAAAACCATCCAAAAGTGAAATATATCTGAATTGAAAGATATTCATAACCGAGATCTATCCAAGCTAATTTATATCTAAACCGAATAAAAAACCTAAAATCGTAACTGAGTTAAATCCAAAACAAAATTAAACAAAACTGATTATAAGTTTATAACCCATGGCCATTTTCCTTAAAATTGCTTAACAATGTTATGAAATGACTCGGGCGGCCTACAGTGTCCCGTTCGTTAAATTAATGCTTCTTACTCTCATTAACCTTTCCTGTAATCCCCTGTCCCAACTCCCGACCCGAACCCATGCCCCCACCCCCTTCAATTACACACCCAAATTTATTTGACTTTGGACTAAACACCAAAGTCAAGTAAACTTGAGAGTGCAATTAAAGGAGTGGGAATACAAGGGGAGAGGGTTTACCCAAAGGGTTAATGGGATTGGAACCATCAACTTTATGAATGAGGCACCGTAGGACCCTTAGATCATCCCATACCATTATTTAGCAATGTCATGAGATGACCCAGAGACCCTACAGTGTCACGTTTGGGGCGCCTTAGAACACATATCCGATAAATCCAAACCAGAACCGAGTCAATTGCCAGACCTAATTCTTTCCGGAGAATCATAGTGATTTTTATGCTAATCATAGTGAATTTTTATGCTAATCACAGTGAATTTAATTGTATGACACAGGGAGTACATAAAATTATACAAACCTAATTTTATGCACTAATTACTACGCATAACATAAACACTCTGCAGTATTCTTTCATGCAACATAGACAACACGCCCTATTTACTTGCTACGTACAAGTTGTATAACATAAACAAGTACTCCATAGCATCCGTCTCTTCAACAGTTCCTTCTCTGCCGCTTCGTACTCCTGTTGGTTTGATATGTTGTGTCATGTGAACCTTAACCACAGATTCCCATAGAGCGACAAACTAAACTTAGCCGCTGAAAACGGGGAATGATGCCCAAATGGTCATAAGAACTATTTCGATCGGCTTCCAGTTCCCATCCACGCATGACCTGAACAAAATGATGCCCCAATAAAGGGGCATCCGACCCGTACTGATTTTGTGCCCATGGCGCTTCACTCAAAGAGAAAACCTTATTGCATTCATAATTAAAGAGATACTGATCAAATACCTACTTTTAAGAACTTCAGGAAAGAGAGCCGACCAAGGACAATTCGTGAAGTTCACTTAGCATCCAGTCGTCTCCAGTCTGACCTCCCAGAACCACTGCTCTAGTTCCCCCAACAACACAAGTGCTGTGTCCCCAAGCGAATCTTGGAGGCAGACCAGGTACATTCAAAACCCTCCACGTAGGTTTGTCTTCTTCGGGATCTAGGATGTATAGCTTTGAGGCGGAGTGCAGACCAGCCACAGAGCCACCAAAGATGAGAATTCCACCGCCAGGGAGGCTTAACGCCACGTGGTCAAGCCTGGGTGGAGGAGCCATGCCCCCAGGATTTCCGGCACCAGGCATTCCACTCCCTGCTACACATCTCCAAGAAGGTTGCTCCTCACCTAAGTCCATCGTGAACACATCACTTGACCGAAAACGTAGAGGACCGCTCTTTGCAAGGCCCCCAAACATCAAAATTTTCCGGCCACCGTAGACAGATAGTGTGTGACCCAGGCGAGAAGGTGGGGTCCACGTTACTCGTATCTCTCGCCAAATAGGTTTCTCAATTGATAGATCAAGAAGGAATGTGTCGCTGAGAAGCACTCCAGAATCCGCACAACCCCCAGACACTATCAACTTTGTCCCATCAAGGGTGCACGAGCTATGCCATGACCTAGGGAGTGGAGGGGCCAAACTTGAGATCTCATGCCAGGTGGGATGTTTTGCATCCAAATCCAGAACAAATACGTCATTCAGTAAGCCATGGGTTCCACAACCACCAAACACAACAAGACGAGATCCATTCACACATGAAAGCGTGTGACCCCAGCGCCCAGGTGGAGGCGAGCTCACTATGACATGCTTCCACTCGGGACTAGTGGAATTCAAGTCCAAAACAAAGGTATCATTCATGGGCTCCATATTGACCCCTTCTCCACCAAAAAGAACTACCCTATTTCCAACAGCACATGCACTAAAGTTGCATCGTGAAGGTTCAATAGTACCTCCAACAGTTAATTTCTTCCATGCCACTGCTTCAAGCGTAGTCAATTCCCTCGCCAATCTACCCCACCCTAATTTTTTCACTCCATGTACTGCCTCTAATACACGAGTTGTTTCACTACCCCATGCATTTTGACAGACTAGATGCCAGATGTCTTCATTTTTTGCCATAGCATTGAGCCGTCTACAAACTGAGCCAATAGATGCAATATCTCTTGGGGTCAACCGTGAGAGAATACTGAGAGAAAGAACTTCGTCACTCAATTGTAGAATCCCACAAACTCCAGTAGCAATACTCAGGTTCCCATTAGAAACTTGTTCACACTGAGAAAGACCAGAGCAGTGTGTAACAGACGATCGTGGAAACTCCCCAGTTGATGATCCTGGCAGTGGGCCCAGCTCAACCATCACTTCTGTGAAGTACTGGATACCTATAACATGAGATAATGTGGCATCATCTCCATAGATAGGAGTCAAGCGCAATCTATTCATTAGTGGGGTTCCATCTTTTTTAAAATTTAATAATTCTCCTTGGAATTCAAGCCCATATTCAAGGCATCTTCTTATTTCAGCAACTACAGTTGAGTCCACTAATGGGTGTCTTCTTTTGGCAAAAGGACCCCTAGATTGCAAAAATCGGCTGCAGGAAGAAAATTATGTAAGCTAAACATATCAAACTACTAGTAGAGCAGAATATGTGACATGAAAAAGAAACAATCACAAAAAAAAGAATCAAATGAAAGACTAAAAACTATACTTCATAAAAGGCAAGACAGAGCATGTCTGCATTAATGGCTAGACCTCTCCTAAACTCATACACATAGGAGAGATCTTAATTTATGCTGCAATATTTTCTCGAACTATGTCCTTTATTAGAAGGAATGCTTATTGTTCTAATACAACATAATATAAAGACACTATAAGCTACAAGCATAAAATAATCAAGCCTACTAAGAGCATGTCCAATGGTGAGCCCCCAGTACCATTTTGAGCATTGTTGTTAAGTTGTCGCCTAGTTGTCCGGGCATTTTGTAGAGCAAGACTTGAGTATTGCCTAGCGACTGAAGGAGACTAGTCGTCCGGTCATTCAAACCGACGCGGCGACGCCTAGGCGGCGCCTAGTTTGAGACCATACACAATTTTACCCAACCCCTCGACCCAAATTTCATTAAAATTTAAAAAGTAGAAGGCATCCCGTTGTCCCGTTTATATAAATAAATAAATAAATAAGTAAATACATACATAAATGAATGAATGAATGAATGAATAAATATCCGCAAGGATGACAAGGCTGAACCCACTGAATTTGAGAAGTCTGTTGCACAGGCTTTGTTTGATTTGGATACACAATTCAAGAGTGATTTGAAGGACCTGTACATCAATTCTGTCATACAAATTGATGTCTTTGGAAACCTGAAGGCTGTGGTTATAAGCGTTCCCTATAGACTGAGAAAAGCTTTCCGCAAAATTCATGTCTGGCTTGTGAGAGAACTGGAGAAGAAGTTCAGCAGAAAGGGTGTGATTTTGATTGCTACCAGAAGGATTGGAAGGTCACAAAAGAAAGGTTCTGCTGTTCAACAACCACGCAGCAGGATGCTCACTGCTGTGCATGAGGCACTTCTGGAGGATGTTGTCCTGGCTGAAATTGTTGGGAAGCATGTCAAATACCAAGTTGATGGATCCAAGATAATGAAGGTCCTATTGGATCCAAAGCAGAAGAACGACACTGAGTACAAGCTGGAGACATTTTCTGCTGTATACAGTAAGCTTTTGGGCAAAGATGTCGTCTTTGACTACCCCATTAGAAGCAAGGCTTAGATTTGTTCTACCCATTCATGGCATTCTAAGCAAACCAGATATTGAATACTTTTTAGAAAAATTGGCCCTTGTAGTTTTCATTGATCTAAAATTGCGAACTGCATTAAGGTTTTTTTAGGACTTATTTGCTTAATTTGTCCTGATTTTGAATATCAATTCTGACTAATTTGCATTAAGGTGTGTGTGTATGTATACACACACACACACACACACACACATACGTACGTATGTATGTCTATATATATATATATATATACATATACATACATAATATATATATATATATAGTGTAATAAATAAATTCAATTCAAAACAAGTCATAGCAGTGTTAAAATAAATAATATATATAATATATAAATATAATATTAATAAACAATATTAATCCAAAATATGTGAGAAAAATAAAAAGGACTTAGAGCAAAAAAAACATTAAAGAACAAAAAACATTATGGATTATGATTAGAAAATAAACATGCGAAGGCTGAAGGTAAAACAGAAAAAGGTAAATGCATCTAAGAAAAACACTGTGAAGAAATAAAAAAGAGGTGCTACCTTGCGAGATGACGCAGAGACACAGATCAATTGAGGGATCCGGGAAGCCGCAGACCACTCTTTGGTTTCTAGATGAGAGACACGATCTGATTTTTTGGTCTCTAGGAAGGCAAATAGGTGATGGACGGATGGAGGCCATTGCCTGATTGAGGTGAGAAAGGTGACTACCTTAGGGATGTCGCCTTGCCTGGCTCCCTTGAGTCGCTGCATGCTAGCCTAAACGCCTTAGGCGAGAATGGCGAATACCTTTCAAAACTAAGGATCCTTTCGCTGCAGGGCTTGGCGGAGGTCTGGGTTGTGATAGGAGAAGAAAACGTGCGGAGGAGGGAAATTAGAATCAGAAACTACATATTTAATTTTAATTATAAACCTTACCTAATTTTTTTCCCCTCCAAATACGAGTCGAGGTTGTGTAAGACCCTGTTCTAGCCTCTGCTTTCCTAGTGTTTTGGCGTTTTTGGAAGAATTACTGAAGGTAGTTAGGGTTCTGATAAATAAACCCTTACAAAGCTGAGTCTCCCTCTCTTGACTTGCTTGCATTTCTACCTGTCCCCTTCGGCCTTCCCTTTTATATCAGCAGGTGCTTTCCAAAGCCAGCCAAAGTTTGGTAGCCTGCAATCAGTCCTTTCGGACAGCCTGTGGGCTTCCCCCCTGGTGTATATCCCAGATTCCGAAGTTGCCATAGGGAAGCCTGACTACCTGCTGCCTCACAGTTAAACAGAACGCCCTGTGATGCATAGTTAAGCCCGTGCACACAATGTCTCAGTTTCATTGCCAGGCATCATGTGAAAGGTATTACAGCAAAATTAAAGGCGTTACAAGCCTCCATCCACCAGTTGGGATCCACTGCAAAATCCATAAAGGGTTCACCCACCCAAATGACCGTGTTGAAAACCATGTTCGGCGGTAAGTCGGTAACTAGCGGCTGGCGCCCTCATGACCAAACCCAAGACCTTGAGGACCACTTCCCAACTACAACACCAGCACTCCTTCAATACAGGCTTGGATGTGCAACTCATGTTTGACACTGAGTATGAACAGTCCCTAAATCACTCTCCTGCTATGTCATGTGTGGAAGTCTGACTGCAAGCCCCAAGCTTTGCCTGGCGTTTACTGAAGCCAAGGGTTTTTGTCTCGATCCCCACAACGCACCTTCTTGTTCATCTGGCAAACTATCAGGCACCCTACTGGGACGTTCATTGAGCGCCTTCCAAGAAAAGATGGCAGCTCAACAAAAGGCTTCTGTTTCAATTGTGCCGAATGGTACCATGTGGCCATGGGGGTCATAAATGCAAACAACTCTTTATCAAGCATTACACGACAACGACGACGAAGTGGAATTCAAAGCTAGGATCTAGGGAGGAGGATGCTAAGTGTGCCGAGGTCACCCTGGACACCTCGTTGCATGCACTCACACAGTCACAGGATATCAAACAAACTGTACTATGCAAGTCACCTTGACAATTAAAGGCCAGTCATCTTCATTGGTTCGAGGAAATACTAATGACACGACTATGAAAGAATTGGGGCTTGGTCGTGACTCGTGTGCGTTCACCCCGGATACAAGTGGCAGTGGTCAATGGGGACAGCATGTCTAGCAACGGGATATGCAACAACATCATAACCATAGTTATCATGGCGCCACGGCTAGGGGCGGCACCAGAGTACGAAAATCAACAAAGCTTAAGTGTAGGAGATATGATTCTTGATGATATGCATTCTATCTTTTAAAAATTAAATATCTTACCCTACTTCATTATGTTGTTACTGTATAAAGGATTAAGGGGCCCCTTGTTAATCTTTTGCCTGGGCCATGATATGTTCAGACTTGGATGTTCCAATGAACGCATACTTCAAAGTTGAAGAAACTAGTTGTGGTATTGGTGACGCATCACGTGATGAATTGGAGGTTCTTGTTCAAGCCGATGATGAAGATGCCTTACTGGAAGATGACTTTAACACTGAAGTTAAATGGCGAACCAGGGTGGGGGGGTTGGGGGTGAAATTTCCGTGGGGGGTTTAGGGGGCGTTAGGGAGGTAGGAACCATCAATTTTACGAATAGAGAACCATCAAGTTTACATATTCCCATACATATACATATATATGTATGAGTGTGTAAGTATGTTTCTATATGTATGTATGTACAAACACACAATATAAATAAAATATATACTACAGAGTAATATATAGCAATAAATATTTATGCATTGCATATCCTAAAGCCTAAAATACAACATAATTGTCGAAGAAAGACAAAAAATGTATAAAGTACTGAAAGGCGAGCTATGTGATCACTTGAAACAGTGATTGAGACGAGAAAAGCGAGAGAGGCGACTGCCTTAGGTGAGAGAGGTGTTGCATGCTCGCCCGGTCGCCAAAGGTGCCTTAGGCGAGAGAGGTGAACACCTTTCAAAACTATGCCAAGGAACGACTTTATGTCACCATTTCTACTCAAAACCACACTCTCCGCTAACACTGACCAAATCTAAAAGAGTGGAACACAAGGAAAGCACATAACACAATGAAAATAACAGATAAATGATCAAACAAACTACTATGAGGTTGGAGATAAAGGACTATCAAACATCAAATTATACAAGGAGCAAGAGCAACACATAGTGAAAGCAAGGAACCTTCTAAAAAAGTACAACCAACAAATGGCACAAAAGTAAAATACAACTCGTAAAATAAAAAATAACTAATGAAAGAAAAAAGATTATAAGTGTGAAAGGTAAGTCCTAGAGATATTCGCAACATTCACATATCCCCTTCTCATACTGATCAATGATCATCACCTACTTATCTTTCTGGCTACTTATGCAGTCCGTGGATTATTGAGACCAAGTGTCCAAATCTATAAGTATATCTCATCATTCAAGAATTGCCCTCAAGATCCATAAGCCCTTTTCCTCTTCAATCTAAAGATCTGATGGTCTTAGTGTTGTTTCTACTATACTTTCATTCTCATCCTATGTTTACAATTTAACATCACTGGAATATTCCTTTCCTTAAAGAATACATGGTGAATTTAGCTTTATTTCGCGAAGCGGGTAGCAATGGCGGTAAATGAAGTAGAAAAGAATGGTACCAAAATTTTGCCCAATAATTGTTTAGTTGTACTTCCCCGTGGAAATTGATTGCCTGAGCTTAAAGGACGAAAAGTTGTAGAAATTTGAAAGATGTGTACCCAATGTTGAAAATTAAGGACAAGCACCCTACGTGGACTAAAAAGTGTTTTTTATATAAAAAGGGTAAAATCATGATAAGACTCATGTTAACAATTGATTCCGAGAACTTTTTGGTCGCTTGGGAGTAACATTAAAGAGTGTTTCTACAATAACCCCTAGTTCCACGTTAAACTATGGACTTTCTCACATAAACAAATTAAAAAATGGTCATGAAAGCATTATATAAATGTTTATGCAACTATGTAAGAATGTCATGAACTCTTAGGTACATCGTACACCTAAGGTGCAAGTAAGAATTAACCAGCAAACAATACAGAAGAGACCACATATTTAAAATCCCCAAAAGTTTCATCATCAATTTCAAGAAATGGAAAAGAAATGTTTGTGGAGGCATATAAGCACATCTGAGTGTAGTATTTACTAGCCTCAAAACGAACTGCTACACAGAAGAAAACATCTCTATTTAGAAACCCAAGAAGTGTATTCATGATTATGAGAAGTAGAAAACAAATTGTATTTGGCATACGAAAGGTATATCTGAGTGTACAGCATTTACCAGTTTCGGCCAAGAACCTCTTCGGCTCGGTATCCAGTGACCATCTCAAACACAGAATTTACGTAAATAACGGGGTGATCAGGCTCGAGAACGTCCGTGACCACGAAACCGCACGGAGCAGGCTGAAGAAGCGAGTCAACCGGAAAAGGCAGCAGCGCTCCATCGCAGTTGGTACTAAGCAAGAACCCTAGTTTCTCTTCCTCCTCTATACCCTCTTCGTTTTCGCTGATATCAGAGTTGCTGTCCCACTCCATACTTGATCGGGATATGCTTCAACACCGCTAGGCTGCGATCGACAGATCGGGATGCTATGCTCTGCGATGGAAGAATTTATGAACTTGTGCAAAGGTTAGAACTTAGAAATGCCCTCTTCTATCCTCCTTGGTCTGTTCCAGAACAAATTGCACTCCTGAGATTACAAAGAAATCATTTGAGCTGATTAACAAAATTGGTTCTAAACTAGTTTGGGTAGATTAAAAAAACTGTAAATGAAAATAGCATGGTATCTTGAAAAATGTGTATTCAATAAGGATTCTGATGAATTTTTTTGGATTTTAAAAATCTGCAGGTATTCAATTCAGATTTAAAAAGTCATTTAAAATCTGAATGTATTCAATTGAGATTTTAAAAAATCCTTTTAAATATGATAGTATTCAAAAAGTTGATAGATTTTTAAAGATTTTTAAAAATGAAGATTTTGATGGATTTTTAAGCATTGGGTATAAATATAAATCCATTCCCAAATCTCACCCAAAAATCCAAGATTTTATAAACTCTTCTTCTGCCGTTTACTTCTTCTTCGGCCTTCTTCTTCATCCGACCATCTTCTTCTTCGGTCGTCTTCTTCGTCTCTCCTTCATCCTCTCCTCTGGTCGTCTTCCTCTCCTCTGGTCGGGATCTTTAAGGTAGGTTTTTCAATAGTCATCTCTATCATATTTTCGATTCTTGGATTTGTTCTAGTATGTCCTAACTATCTCGCACACTTCATCAAATTCCAACCTTGGACTGTTAAAAATTGACTTATTGGAGTATTAAGATTCAAAGAAAAATATTATTGGAATATTTTTACTCTATTCAAATTTGGGTAAAAATACTTTTGTTTAGATCTACAAACCGGAAGAAAAGCCTGTTTTTCAAAATGAGTTATTGAGTAATTAAGACATTCATAGTGAAGATTCAAGAGACATTATGTGACACATCATTTCCTTTTCAATTCTACGACTTAACTTCTAAAACGATACACATTCCTTAGAATTCTTATGTGCTTCGATCTCATTGGTAGCTTCTACTGTTTTTGGCTCTATTGGTTTTTATTCTATCTGCGAGCACCTATAATTACCATCACGAGTCCCTGCTAGGGGTACACCACTTGGTATACCCCAATTCCACACCATATACTCCCCCCTCCTCCCTCGCTAACCCCACTTTCTTTTCTACTCTTTCCATCGCACTAATTCCCCATCTTCTCCCTCATTTCTCTCCTTTCTCTATCATCTTTAGATCTTCCATCTTTCTTTCTCTCATAGATTCTCGATCTCTTCCTCAACTCTCTCTTCCTCTCTAGATCTCCCATCTTTCTTTCTTCCCCGCCAGTGATCAACGTAACACCACACATTCATCTCTGCTGCCACAAAATTTGAACCTGGGATTCTCGATTTTTGCCGCCCCATCCTCTTCGCTGCCCAGAAGTTGCACAGCGTGAGTTCCCCATCGCCGCCTAGGAGTGGCATCATCATCATCATCAGGATCTGGATCAGAGCAGGGCGACGAACAACTCCTTCAATTCCTTCACCGCCACCTATTTTCTCGTCATTGCTCGCTCCTCCCAGACCGCCATAATGACTTTCTTTGTCGTTAATAGCGTCACCGGAGCAGTAGATTATGGCAGAGATGGTGGCGTTGTTTTGATTCAGATTATACAAATAGTAAATGTATGTGTTCAAGAAAATAAAGACGTTTAGTGTCTGTGTGGCTAAACAATATTAATTGTAATTTTTCTTTTCTTTATTTAAACGTAGAAAATTTTGTGAAATGTTCTTGGTAGTGTACTATTTCGTAGATTTGAAGTGTAACGCCCCAAAACATACCCTAGAATTATTAATGAAAAAAAATCAATTAATCAAATTTGTTTTGATTAAAATAAATTATTGTTGGGCTTTGGGCCGATATGAAATGTGTTTTGACATCCAATATCAAAATCTGGATAAGTCTCATAGCGATAAATCCAATATGTGGACTATTTGTGTGGTCTTGATTGGGAACCTGAGTACAGACCCAAATCAAGAGTAAATAAAGAATTTGTTTAGAATGTAAATATTGAAA